CCAGGCCCCAAGCTGTCAGCCACAGCCCGACGCGGGGCTTAAACTCATGAACTGTGAGATCATGACCTGAGCTGAAGTCGGATGCTCAACCAACTGAACCACCCAGGCGCCCCTGTACTTCTCTTTTCTAAAGACAGCAGTGATGCTTCGTCACACTTTTGTTCCTAATCCTTAGAGTATTTCTTCTACCAGAGATCTGCTTTCATCCAGTCTCACCTTTGAGCATTCATAGGCTAGACCAGGATGAAGACAGTCTATTTTCAGGAAAATTTTAGCTACCAGATAGATAATAATCTGCTTAAAAGCATTTTCTGTCTTTTAAAAAAGTCTCCCCCCAAAAAACTGTATTATGATTTTGAAATTTAATAGATTTCTATTTTATGTAACAAGATTGAGTTAGTAGTTTTTGTAAATTTCAGACTGAACTTTTCTGAATTCCTGACTAAATCTTCATTATTTTCCACCAGACGTTCTGCCAAATCCCGAAGCAGAAGCCCATATTCCTCTAGGCATTCAAGATCTCGTAGCAGGCACAGGTTGTCTCGATCCAGAAGCCGTCACTCTAGCATTTCTCCTAGCACACTAACTCTGAAGAGTAGCCTGGCAGCCGAGTTGAACAAGAATAAAAAAGCACGGGCTGCAGAGGCAGCAAGAGCTGCAGAAGCCGCGAAAGCTGCAGAAGCAGCTAAGGCTGCTGAGGCTGCTGCCAAAGCTGCCAAAGCCTCCAACACTTCTACACCTACGAAGGGGAGCACGGAGACGGGTGCTGGTGCATCTCAAACAAACCATGTGAAGGATGTGAAGAAACTGAAAACAGAACACGCACCTTCTCCGTCAAGTGGTGGGACTTTAAAAAACGACAAGGCAAAAACAAAGCCACCTCTTCAGGTAACCAAGGTGGACAATAATTTGATTGTAGATAAAGCCGCCAAGAAAGCAGTTGTAGTTGGGAAGGAGAGTAAATCTGCTGCTACAAAGGACGAACCAGTATCTCTTAAAGAGAAAACCAAACCACTTACACCAAGTTTAGGAGCCAAGGAGAAGGAGCAACATGTGGCTTTAGTGACCTCTACGTTACCACCATTACCTTTGCCTCCCATGCTGCCTGAAGATAAAGATGCCGATAGGTAAGTGCAAAAAAGTTTTGTCACTAACAGTTTATTTTTATTATTTTGAAATTATTTTTTTACTGTTTATTTTTGAGAGAGAGAAAGAGCAAGAGCGAATGAGCGTGGGGGAGGGGTAAAGAGAGAGGGGATGGGGGAGACACAGAATGTGAAGCATTCTGTCAGCACAGAACCAGCCTCGGGGCTCGAACTCTCGAGCCGCAAGTTAATGACCTGAGCCGAAGTCAGACGCTTAACTGACTGAGCCACCTAGGCGCCCTTGTTACTAACAGTTTAAAAAAAGGAATGTAAGTTTGGTGTGAGAAATTACCTGAAATACCCTCCCCCCCCATAAAAAGGTTATAAAAAAATCATAAGTAAATTATCTTTATTATTATTTTCACTTTAAAATGTAGCACACTGCTTGTAAGATGACAAAATATAGGTTATGCTAAGAATTCCAGGAAAAATTTGCTGTTGGCTTCAGAATACAATGTATATTTCCGATTGAGTTTGGGAATTAGAGATGCTAGTACTGTGTTTTCTTTGATTTAATATTCCTTAAATGACAGTATCAGAAACAGGACATTTATGAGAGACTCTGTCCTGGGTGATTAAAGCAGGTATATTCATTATTTCTAGGTTTCTTCTGTGGCCTTATACATTTATCACTCTGGGTAGCTTTATGAATTTATTATTTTTTAGACTTTTCTTGACCCTTTTAATTTTTTGCAATTGGAGATTCATTATGTATTACAGAAAACTCAATGTGGTTTTGCTTTCCTTTAACATGTTTACAGATTCTTTTATGAATATTGGGGGTATGACTTTTTTTTGAAACATTTTATTTTTTAGAGGATTAAGATAAGAGTGTCTGTAAAGTAAATGTGGTTCTAAGAATATTTCTGAAACATATGCTAGGATAGAAGCATTATGCTACTGTGTAATGTCTGTCTGTTACACCACTTAACCTTTTTCATTTTTATTTTTATGGAGAAATTAGAGCTGTTTTTCCCTCATTTTCTGTTAAAAAGCAACTATATGAGCAGTTTTCCTAGCTGACATCTTTATAGAATTTGGAAACAAGTGGATGAGAATGCTGTGTGGGTAGGTCTTTCAAGTGCTCACTTTGGCTGGCATTATGAACATTTTATAATTTAAAACAAAAAAATCATAATTCCTGTGTTTTGTGTCCACTATAATGTCTTTTTTCTACAATCAAAAATGTTGCCAAGAGAACTCATCCAATATAATCAGGTATTCTCCAATTATACCACTCTAATTATGGTATTTACAGGTTTCACTATTCTCTAGGAACACTGAAGGTTCATAAACAGAGTAGTGATTTGTAATTTTGATGAGTTGTGGAATGGACTCTCCGGCAGAGAGGCATGAATGCAGAACTGAGTCACTTCATTAGTGAGAAAATAACCCATTTGCCAAGAATCTAGTAATTCTGGGCTGGTGAGACTGGTTATTCTCTATTTTTCATATATCCTATGGAGATAAATTTTTACTGGTGGTATTTTCAAGAATTCAAGATGCATACAGGTGAATGCTTTAAGGAGGGTATTTTTTGTGCATCCTTTTTTTTTTTTTTGACAGTTGACTGATTTATTGAACAATAGAATCTAAAGTTCTGATCTCGGATGTGTACAATCCCCATTTAGCTTTGCATCTTTTATTTTTTATTTATTTATTTTTTTTGATTTAACTTTATTTTTTATTTTTTAAAATTTACATCCAAACTAGTTAGTATATAGTGAAGCAATGATTTCAGTAGATTCCTTAATGCCCCTTACCCATTTAGCCCATC